CTGCGGACGGTCAACGTAAACACCGTCTCGTGGCCCGCCAGCGATTTACCTTGATGGGCTGTGTGTGGCCCGTGGGCCGCAGGTTGCCCACCACTAGGTTACACAGTTACTTTTTTAAACCCTATTTACATCCCTAATTATCTTCTAGGTGCTTAAAAATTAATTGTTTAATAATTTGTTCCATTATTTTTTCAGGTATCAAAGTTAGGCTGACTTGTCTATACTTATGCAGATAGGTACTTTAAAGATACGGTACTATGTTTGTCTTTCTCCAGTCCTCTGGAACCATGACTATCCTCTGAGTTCTCAAAGATAATTGCTAACAGTTCCAGGAGTGCTTCAGCTAGTTCCTTAAGTATCCTAGGGTGAATTTCATCAGCCCCTGATGACGTGAATACATCTAACTTATTTAAATATTCTTTAACCTGTTCGTTCCCTATTTTGGCTTGTGTTCCTCCCTTGCTGTTAATATTGTGTTGAGTACCCAGTCACCATTAACCTTTTTAGTGAAGACTGAAGCAAAACACCTCAGCCTTAAACACCTCAGCCTTCTTGATGTCAACAAGTATTAGCTCTTCTTCCCCACTAAGTAGAGGACCTATACTTTCCTTCATCTTTCTCTTGCTCCTAATGTAAAGAACCTCCTCTTATTGGCTTTTATGTCCCCTGATAGGTTAACTCGTTTTATGCCTTGGCGTTTATGATTTTGTCCCTACATGTTTGTGCTATTCTTTTGTACCCCTGCCACCTCTCATGCCACCAAAGCTACACTTCTATTTTTAGCACACTAGCTCAATCAGATCTAGTGCAGGTATGTCTCCTCAAGCTGAAATGTACATCTTCCAGCTCTAGTGTAGACATACCTCATGGCACTATAAAATACAACCCCTGCCAACTGAGTTGGTGTGAGGATAGCCTATGCAAGTGGAAGGTGTGCTGGAAGGCATGCTGGGGGAAGTAGCACCACTAGAAAAGGGTGTGTTAAAGGCAGCACCAAGAAAAAGGTATACTAAGTGGTCACAAGGATGGGAAGCAAACTTGGGGCATATTGACTCCAGAAATGGGACTGAAAACTGGGTGAGTTTGCCACATAATTTTATGAATTGCTCCATTTGTTTTCCTTTTTTCCCACCACAACTGTGGTCAACAGTTCATCCCAGTCCACCAGTGAATACCTCGTAACACTGTTTACAATATTCATAATGTAAGCAGCACATTCAGAGAGGTTCCTGATCATTATGTGAGGGGCAAGCCTTTCTAAGACTTGTGTATCATACTTGACACAAATATATTTCAAACAAGTACTGTCAAAGAGGACATTGAATCTTCCAATTTTTCTTTAATAATGACAGTGATTTAATATGGGGTCTGGCATAGGGACAGAGCCTTGCATGTTTTTAAAGAGCGGCAGAGACAACTGGTCAGTCAGTCTTCAGAAAATTTGTTCCAGGATCGGAAGGTTAACAAGACTGTAGAATAAAAGGAAACTTATGAGGAAATTTTGACTAGGTATTTACCTCTGCATATTTAATGCTGGGTTTTTTCAGGTGCTTTTCATTTTCTAAATGTAAAGATTTACAAAAAAACCCCACATTTTACCTTTACCTTCTGTTGCTTAGCCTTGTGTACTATGTTGATGAGGGACATCCAAGTCCTAGATAGATATAACTGAAAGCTAACCAAATATTACATAAAAATAGAATTCTCTTGGCTATCCTGTTGTGCCCAATTTTAAAGGTTTGTTTATCGTTTTGCCAACCCCATATTAGCAAGCTAATATAAATCTGCTTACAGAACAGCAATAACCAATGCCGATGAGCATTACGGACTAGATCCTTCCACAGTTGTGCCTACAGAACTCCCATTTACTTCACTGTAAGTTGTGCACTTACTGCAAGGAGACACTGGACCATTATTTGTTATTACTAACTATCATTAGATTCTCCAGTTATTTCCATTCTGCTCTCTGGGTCACACTGTGTTGTGAAACTGAAAGGCAAGTCTGATAATAGAAACTAAATTTTTGACCCACTTTTAACTTTCTTTACCAACAACAAAATTTTCAGGGGTGAAAAAAGCTATTTAGTCTCAGGCCAAAGGGAAATTTTGGGGATAGTTTATACGAGTTGGTTTTCTGAGCGATGGAATTCAGAAAAAAGGTGCCGTTATAATCAGTTTTGTCAACTTTGTCATTAGTTATCCACTTGTACATCAAAAACGGTTTGCCTACTGATTTTATGTATTAATCCTCAATTTGTGTCTTCATCTGAACTTATGAAAGTTGCTATATCCTCTATTAGTACTATGACAGCTGAGTATGGCACATTTTAGAAGGGATTCTGTGAGCCCTTCAGGCTATGCTGAAGGAGCTTCTGTGGAGTTTGAAATGTATTTCACAATGATTTGAAGATATGTTATAGATTTCTACCTTCTGCTGGGCATGAAAAGTAGGGGTCATGCTGGTTATGAGCTCTGTGGGCTATATCAGTTAAATGTGTAACTTCATTTGAAATTGGGCCATCACTTTAGATACAATATCCACTAAAACCCAGTCTTGGGGAACAATTGTAGAAGGGGAAAGATGGACAGGTTTTAAGAGGATTTCTGGACTGTAGGTGGAGAGAGGGCAGGGATACAGGGGCAATATTAAGACTACAGTTAAAGGGTTCACTGCACATTTCCTGATTTTTTTTTTGTCGATTTTCTTTCAGACCTATTAATATTTGTTCTTTACAGTATAATATGATATTTAATTGTGTCTTAATCAAGATTTTGTATGAGAATATATCAGTTTCTGTTATCTTTATGTACTGGACACAAAATAAGTATTTTAAAATCCCTGGAACTAAGATCACTCATATGGGGAGGATGAACTACCTCCTTTGCAGATGTACTATCCATTTGCAGTCATGGAGTAGAGGGACTTCCCAGGAAGATTTTCCTTACTTCCCAAACTATTTGCTTTTTAGTTGCTTATGTTCCTGGAGCTCTGAGTTTCCACCAGAATCTTTTCCCATTGATTATGTGATTTCAGGCAAGCAAGAACACATTTCCTCTGCCTTATGTCTAACTGAGTAATGGATCGATTGAGCAGTGTTGGCTGTGCCTTTCTGTTTGTTTGTCTCTTTGGGATTTTGTCTGAGGGACATAGATTGAAGATACAGTTAAGTTCTTGCCATTGAAGTGACTAAAAATAGAATGATATTGTTTCTTTGCAAAAAAAAATTTCCATTGCATTTGAACTCCGTAAGAGGTATTTTTAATACATGTTAAATGTTAGGGATTTTTTTATTAATATATACAGAATATGACCAGGCCAAAGAATTGTAAGTCTGAAATTTATTCCTATAATAGGTTCTGGGGTTTGTGTCCTGCTTTGACTTTTTCATAGCTTTCTTTACCTAAAACTACTTTGTCTAAACACCAGTTTTTTTTGAAACTCTGATGATGTGAGTGCTGATATGCTCTAATTCAGCCAAGAATTTATTTTGTCTGTTCTGGTTTTATTATATTTGCAGTGTTGCTGTCCTGGTGTTGGTCCCAGGACATGAGAAAGACAAGATAGGTGAGGCAATATCTTTTATTGGACCAACTTCTATTAGTAGAAGGTCCAAGCTTTCGAGCTACTCAGAGCTCTTCTTCAGGTGTGGGGAAGGAAATCAGAGTGTCTAAGCTAAACACAAGTTGGGACAGATTGTTAAACATAAGGGGTAATGCAAGTTGTAGGAGCCTCATTGAAATAGAATGGACGATAAGGGTTAGATTGTTATACGTAAGTGGGCTTCCAAGTGGGCTACCAAGGCTTAGCAGGCAGGTGTGTGTTACAAATTGTTGGAGTGAGCTCTTGAATGAACTGACCCAGAAAAATTATAAAAGACAAAAACACCATATCACCCATGGGCAAACACTTTTTACAAAGTGATCACTCCCTGTTTGATCTTTCAGTCCTCCTCCTCAAAGGAAGCCTCCACATCACCTTCAAAAGGAAAGCCTGAGAACTTAAATTCATGGCTTGAACAGGGACACTAGTTTCATGTAACACACACTTTCCTGCTAACCATTAATTGCCCATTTCATACTCTATTTGCATAATAATCTAACCTTTATTGCCCATTCCATTTCAAGTGGCCTCATACAACATGTATTACCCCTTATGCTTAACAATCTCTCCCAACTTATATTTAGCTCAGGGTATGTCTACATTAGAAACATCAGAGCTGCACAGCTAATGTAGACATACCCTGACTACAGCGTCAGGAATATCCTGACTAAACATGTACTTACAGGGGAAGGGGATCTTCCATCACTGTAGTAATTCTGCCTCTTTGAGAGGTAGTAGCTAAGACGATGGAAATATTATTCTGCCAACTCAGCACTGTCTACACTTGGGTTTAGGTCGGTTTAACTACATTTCTTGGGGGGGGGGGGTGAAATTTTCACAACCCTAAGTGCTGTAGCTAGGTTGACCTAACTTTTAGGTGCCGACCAACCCTCAGACATTTTGATTTCCTTCCCCAGGTCTGAAGACGAGTTCTGTGTAGCTCGAAAGCTTGTACTTTCTTCCAACAGAAGTTGGTCCAATAAAAGACATTCTCTCACCTACCTTGTCTCTCTGGTTTTACAGTAAAAGCTTTTTTATCCAGCATGTTGAGTGAATGAATGGGAGGGTGCCGGTAAGTGAAAAATTCCAGTTAACTAAGAGGGCGGGAGTTTGGGTGCGGAAGGGGGCTTGGGGCAGGGGATTGCGGAATGGGAGGGGGATTGCGGTGCCAGATCCGGGTGGTGCTCACCTCCGGCGGCTCCCCACAAGCAGCGACATGTCCCTGCTGCTTCTAGGCAGCTCTGTGCTGAGCTCTCATTGGTTCCCTCCTGCCCCCAACCCCCAGCCCCGCAGCCCCTCCCGTACTCCAAACACCTTGTGGCTTTTCCTCTGCCTAGGAGCTGCAGGGTCATGTCACCGCTTCTGGGGAGCCACACGGAGCCAGGTAAGGAGCCTGCAGGCCCTGCACCAACCGGACTATATACCGGACTTTCAATGAAGATCAGATATGTCGGTTTATAGAGCTTTCCAGTTGGTAAAGTGCTGGGTAACACAGCTTTTACTGTATTATGTTAGCTTCCAGTCCATCTCTCAGAATTGATTTAACATCCATCATTTATGCAAAGATTGGAATCAGCTACATCTGCCTGGGATGCTCGGTTATGCCGCTGCTCAGAGTCTGTAGATCTCAGGTAAAATCTTGTGATGTGGCTAAAGATCCACCCTGGATAGCTGTGGAAAGAAAAGCTGATACAGAATTCATCTCTGAGAAAAAAAAAAGGGGAGAATCCATAATTTAGAACAATGTGCTCTGATAACCAACAGCAAACTGAAGATATAGTCTATTTTCTCTTTCAATTTTAGTTAATGCAACTGATCAAACATACTTTAATTTGCTAAAAGGCACACTTTTCTATTTAAAGAAATATTGAATTTATATTTTAACAATCAAATCCTTAGACTTTTTTCTGACCTGTAGTGCTTGTGTTTTCAGCATAAGCCATGTTAGATATACCAGGTCTAAATCTGCTCCAGAATAAGTTGTTTATCCAACTGGAGGAAATAGGGAGGAGAATGTTTGCTGTGGAGCTGGGCAAACAATTGATCCCCCCCGCACCCCTGTTCATTGGAAGTTGGGGGGGGGAAGGTTTGAATCATAACAAAGTTAATTTTAAAAAATTGCAATTGGATAAGTCAGAAAATTTCATTTTGGGTCTCCCCTGTTACTCACTAGCTCCGTGGTTGGATCACTCATCTGGGATGGGAGAGACCCTGTTTGAATCAACACTCTGGAGCATGGACTTGAGGCCAGGTCTCCTCCCATGCAGATGAGTAACCTCACCATCAGGCTATAGAGTTACTGGTCATTCTCTGGTGCAGTAACTATTCAGGTATTTAATATAAAGTGGAACAGTTTCACCAGGAGAGAATGAGAGCATCCCCTCATCCCCCAGAATAATCAATATCCTGATGGCTCGGACAGTCACTTGGGACAAGAGAGACCTGGGATCAAGTCCCTGCTCTAGCATGGGGATTCAGATCTGGGTGTCCCACATTCCAGATGAGTGCCTAAGAGCGGGGTTATTAGGTATAAGGGGGGCACCTTGTCCAGTGGCTTTGTGAATGGTGTCTGATTCTAGCCTGGAAAATTGAAGTGTTTTGGGTATACGAAAATGAACCATTTCAACATTTCCAAATGTTTCTTTGTTTTTTGCTTTGTTTTTTTTCTTTTGTTTTTGTCAGACAGAAACAAGGCACCAAAATCTACATAAATTTGTGAAATGTTTTGGTTGACCCGAATCGGCCTTTTCTGAGGAAAGAAAATCACCCAGCTCTAATTAGCCAGCTGAGTGCCCCCACTGCACTTTGGAGTACGGGGCAGCAGGCCCTCAACTGAGTCTTCCCCATGCCTCCAGTGACACAGGGCTAGAACCTCACTGGTCACCAGCAAGTAGGGTGACCAGACAGCAAGTGTGAAAAATCGGGACAGGGGATGGGGGGTAATAGGAGCCTATGTAAGAAAAAGACCCAAAAATCGGGACTGTCCCTATAAAATCGGGACATCTGGTCACCCTACCAGCAAGGGATAGTCCTTAAGACCTCTACTCCTCACTGGGCAGAAGAACAGAGCAGCAAGGAGAGTGTGTGCCAGCAGGCCCCCAAAGTCCTGCTTCATACCATGTGTCCTCCTTCCCCAACGCCTCTATCCACAGCCTCATAGTCAATGAGACCCCCACCTTGGCCTGTATGATTGAAACAGGGGAAGATCACTCTATGGGCATGCCTATATTGCATGTAGGAGTGAGCCTCCCAGTCCGGGTCCACAGACTCTAAAAACAGCTGTGTTCCAGTGGGAGCTTGGGCTCTGAAGCCAGGGGGGTTTGATAGCCAAAGCTCCAGCCCAAGTCACAACATCAATACAGCTATTTTTAGAGTGCTAGCTTGTTTCTGTTGGCGCAGGCTGGGAGGTTTACTCCCAGATGCAGTGTAGACATGCCCTATAAAATCACTGCTGGCTACTCATCCTACTAGGCTACTCTGTATGCCACACCTCCCAGAACCTACAGAAATAAGGTTGAGCAGCCATGCTATTCCCACACAGCAGACGATGCTTTAACAGTAATGTTTTGTGTTAGAGGATACTGACCTCTGCTATGAAACAGGGGGTGGATTGTTATGTTTGTTTGTATTTTAGTTGTGCCGAACAAAGATGGGGAGCATAAAATTCAACCTCTTACCTTGCTGATGAAAGGAAAAAAGTAAATATCTGATAAAATGGAGAGGGAAAATGCCTGAATGCACTAGTCTGGAAAGAAACCTGAACTGGAAGAAGTAGTTGCAACACTTCCACATTTTTTCTGAAGTGATATTTCCCAGAAACTGGACAGGGTAAAAGCTTCTCACTGCTACATGTGTGTGGCAGAACCAGAGGCTTTAATCTACAATACATGCAGTGAGAGCATGAAGGGGACTAACATCTGCTAGATAAGTCATTCAAACGTGTCGTAAGTACTGTGATCCAAACAAGATTGCCATTTCGGAAAAGCACATTTGATTTACAAAAAGCCAGCTGCAAGGTGATACCATATATCATTATAAAGAACTGGAGTACTTGTGGCACCTTAGAGACTAACAAATTTATTAGAGCATAAGCTTTCGTGGACTACAGCCACAGTGGGCTGTAGTCCACGAAAGCTTATGCTCTAATAAATTTGTTAGTCTCTAAGGTGCCACAAGTACTCCGGTTCTTTTTGCGGATACAGACTAACACGGCTGCTACTCTGAAACCTGTCATATATCATTATGTTAAAGACTTAAGAAAGAAATCTAAGTCATGGGAATTTGAACAGTAAATAGATGGACTAAAGGAGAGAGAAATATTTGTGGTATTTCTGGTAACCTGCAAGGTTATGGGCAAAAACAATTGGTATATGCAGGACTACTAAAAATTGCTTCCCAAACAAAACTGTTAAGAAGCTATAAAAACAAAACAAACCAAACCAAACCCTTTAATTAAAAATGTATATCAAAACAAAGACAGAATACAGGATAAATAAATAAGACTAGATTTGTTTCTAATAATTGTGGAGACATTTACAAACCAATACAAAAGTGTCTAACATATAGATATAATGCCAAGTTTGAAAAAAAGCAAGCATTTGGCAAAAATGTGTCACTCATGACACTAAAGTAATCCAAAAGCAAAATAGTTTTGTGAACATAAAGGTAGAGGACAAAGCTGTGATGGTGAAGCAGGAACAGTTCTCTGTCGGGTCTCTTATGAAATTTATAGTATGTGGTTCCACAATAAGGTTGGTTTATGATATTGGAAATAGTGACTTTACAAGATAGATATGGGGCTATGTGTATTGATCAGTGCAAGCAGCTACAAAAAGAGTAGTGACTGCCTGATGTCAAATTGCAAACTAAACTTATTTCATCAATTGGGCACAAATGAGCCAAATTCCAGAGCATCCCTAATGGAAAACTTACTAAACACTTACTAAAGAATGGGCAATTTGGCTACCACCTTCAACCTGATTGTTTAAATGCACCCTTCATCTCTTTACCATTGCTAATTTCCATCATTCTCTGATCTTTTCAGGCAAAGCAGGAAGGAAGGAACACAAAGTGAATGTAGCTGGTAGAGAACACGGTTGGATATAAATAAACTCCAACAGAGAGATTTCCTTATCCTGTAGCACAGTCATGATAGAGGCTAAAAAAACCTTCTCCTCTTCTTCCTAAGGTATCACAGCAGCCAAATTGTGCCCTGAAGACTGCAGAAAAAGGAGGAGGAAAACAGGATAAAAACAAGAAGGGAAAAGAGAGTGTGAGTGTAGAAAAGAAATAATAGGAGTAGAGAGAGGAGAAAGAGAGGAAATAATTAAAAACAACGAAACATTCCAAACTTCCTTGAGGAAAGAAGGGCGGCAACTTCATAATCTCCACTTATTGGGGGGCTGGGGAGATTTACTATCATGATGGGCTCCTTTAGAAGAAGAACCTAATTAAACAGCTGGATAGATAGGAGAGACAGAACATCGGTGCAGAGCACAATCTCAAAGCCTCAGGCCCAGATTCTCAAAGGGATCGATTTCAATGGGAGTTAGGTCCCTAAATACCTTTGAGGATCTGTGTCTCAGTGATTGCTCAAAGCCCTCTATCCTCAGCAGAATCACCTTCAGTGAGCTGTTAATGGTACTGAGAGCTCTTTGGAGGGTTGTGGTAAATCGTATCTGGTAAGAAAACTGAAACTGCGGGTGCCAAATTGCAGAGAGAAGCAGGGCCACCCAGAGGATTCAGGGGGCCTGGGGCAAAGCAATTTTGGGGGCCCCCTCCATAAAAAAAGTTGCAATACTATAGAATATTCTCGTGGGGCCCCCGCGGGGCCCGGGGCCTGGGGCAAATTGCCCCACTTGCCCCCCACCCCCACCCCTCGGGTGGCCCTGGAGAGCAGTGATCAGAACTTCTACTGGGGAATGACAGGAAAGGGACCAAATGGCCAGGTCTTGCATCTACATACTTCAAATATGAGCCTGGGTAAACAAAAAATAGGCAAGGTGGCTAAACAGAAAGTGGAAAAAGAGGAAGGATGGGAAGATGTGTTCTTTTCCTTCCCCTGTTCCTTATCTGTTTAGAATGGATTGACAACTCTCTGGGGCAAGGTACTGAATTTATAATATATCTGTAATGTGACCAGCATATTTTGGGCATTTTTATAATAATTTTATAATAATACTATCAACTTCAGTGGGAGTTGCTCCTACTTATCTCAGGTCTGTACTTGATCCTCTCCCCATTACACTAAAAAAAAATGAGGAGTCCTTGTGGCACCTTAGAGACTAACAAATGTATTTGGGCATAAGCTTTCATGGGCTAAAACCCACTTCATCGGATGCATGCAGTGGAAAATACAGTAGGAAGATATATATACACAGAGAACATGAAAAAATGCGTGTTGCCTTACCAACCCTAACGAGACTAATCAATTAAGGTGGGACCTCATTAGAGTTGGTATGGCAACACCTATTTTTTCATGTTCTCTGTGTGTATATATAGCTTCCTACTGTATTTTCCACCTCATGCATCCGATGAAGTGGGTTTTAGCCCATGAAAGCTTATGCCCAAATAAATGTGTTAGTCTCTAAGGTTATCACAAGTACTCCTCATTCTTTTTGCTGATGCAGACTAACATGGCTATGACTCTGAAACCTGTCACCATTACACTGAGTTTTTTCTTTTGTTTTGTTTTCCCATGCTTT